GCAGGAATAAGCAGATGGCAGGAGACTATATTAAAGAATCTATCAATTATTTTTATTAATGGGAGGCTACTGGATCATGATGTGCCATAATGGACTAAATGTTTAGCAGTTGTGAAGTGTTTTGTCTGTTAGGTATCTCAAATGTTCTTAGCGGATGCTATTATATTGTCTTGTGATGGCATTCTTTGAGTGACTGGATAGTGAAGTTTCACAAGGGACATATAAAGAGATGTTTTAATTTCAGTCCTTTAATTGTATTCATATAATAAACATAAAATACCAGTATGTATAAAATGTAATTTTAAAAAGATTGTGTGTACAGCGCATAATAAAGTACATTCTGTCTGCATACATTGACTTAAAAAACAAGATACTATATGGTTAACAATGAAAAATAGCAATTATTATAAAAATATTCTACAGTCTCATAATAGTAATGTAAATGCCTTTACTTATCTAAGAGACTTAACATAATTTTAAATTACAATAATTTTACATCCTCCATTCGTATATACAGACCTATTAAAGTCAAAAGGTATTATAATAACAATGTTCTTATTAAGATTAAATGACTGAATTATATTTAGTTATTTTACTATAAAAAGCGACTGTGTCCCTGTTTGTTAAAACCGTTTGCACGTACTCTAGTTTTCACACTGTCCATGCTATGCACAATGAAATAATTTAGTTTTCTGTTCTAAGTACAGTATTTATATCCATTTCATGAATTAAACAGGATGTGAATATTTCAACTCCCTTTCTTTTCGTGTAATTATCAGTTCGCTGTTTTGTGTATTGTGTAGGAATATGTGCACTAACTTTGAACAGCTGCTGCTGAAAACAAGCAAGAACTCCTTATTTAATACAAAAACAGCCAGTTCCTCTCACTCCCTGCCCTGCCTGAGTTCAAAATGTAAGTCTTTAAATTCTTTTTTTTAGGCTCAGAGCCACAGTCATATTACACAGCTTTTTCTTGAGATTTCATCAAAAAGATCTCCGTAAGAAATAGCCAAAAAGTGTATTTCGCTTGCACCATGTTTTAGTCCAGTAAAACTCGTATGGACAACAAAGAAATTAGGCCTGAGGAAGGATGACAGGGTTTGTCCCTGTAGTCATAAAATCCCTTTCCTCTGTGCAAGCAGGCAGGACTGTTCTCTGCACTGCTCTACTCTGACAGTCCTCTCAGCTTCACCAAACCTGGGGTGGGAGAGGACGTCCTTGCTCCAGAAAATCAGGGATACAGTTACCAGCATAACCTTTGGTTCATCCTCAGAATGTCCCAGGTTACTGTTTCTTTCACCTTGGACCACTACTTAGTTTCAAGGGTGACGCTGTAATACAGGTTATAGTTGTTAGCTAAAATACTAATTATGATGATTTTTTCCTAGAAAAAATGTGACAACATGGTCATAATATACACCTACAGGTATGTATACATTTAGTGTTTTGGTCAAGGGGGTTGAGGATTTTGTGTGAATGAAGATAGCTCACATATGTTTAATGGTAGATGTCATCTGGTATACTACAAAAGGAACATTCACTATCTTCTTCAAAGTTTCTCATGCAGAAGGAGGGAAAAAAAAATCTGGTGCTTCAGATGGAAGCAATTGTCAGAAGAATGAAAATCAACTGAAAAAAAATTTAATGGATGCACTATAATTTTTTTTAGAACAGTGCTTATAAAAGTGATGAAATTCAGGATGTTATTTAAAGTCAATACAGTTCAGAAGTATGGTCTAACTCTCATGTAAAAGTTCAATGGGAAAATCATGTAATACATTCATATTTAATTTCTTTTTCTCCATTATGAGCAATCCACATTGGTGTATTTAAAACTAATGTAGTAGAAACTGCAATACAGGGACAAATGACATTTGATATTAACCAACTATCCCTTCCTTTCATCAGCTTAAATGGACAATATGCATCCTACACTAGACATAATGTGGGCATAAATGTTACTTTTAACTCTTCATATTTTGTACTTAAGTGTCAGTATTAACTAGTCTTTGGTAAAACTATGACAAAGTGGTTCCTCTTTTAGTGAGAGGCATTTATAAAAGCACTCCAATTAAAATACTGTTTAGTCCTATCTTCAATTACCTTTTGTTAATACTCATTTGTCCTTCCATTCCTTTCCTCCGTGTTACAAAAAAAAAATATTTAAAAAAATTATTATTAGAACACTGTTGTTTTGACGGCTTTTAACCATGCAGTGGAAGCACATCTCTGCTAACATTCCAATCAAGAAACTATCCTGACACTATCTGGATTGATCAGGAATGGGCTATAAAGCCCTGCAGGAACAAAAACCTCCCACGAACTGTGAGGAGGGTGCAAGAACCAGTAACAGAAGAGTCAATAGGAAAAACAATTGCTCTGTGCTTGGATAATATGTTTAAATACATTTATAAACATTCAGGCAAACAACATTCCACTTTAATCTCTTCGTATTATTTTCAATCTTGTGACACTTCTGGGGCATGAGGCAGGCTCAGTGACAGCAAAATTAATACACATTTTTGAAACATATTTTGAATCATTAGAGAACTCCCTAATGTGATCATTTGGCTTTGGTTGAGGAAGAGCTATGGAGAATCTGTGCCCATGTATTAATATTACAATTAGAATTATTGTATTTAATGTCCTCCAGGAACAGGCATCACTGTCCAGAATTTCACTATGTACAGAAATTATATGCCTTCTACCTGCCCTCTAACTGCCAAGTCTTTACTGAGTCATCAAAACATGGTTTCTGAACGTCTCCTCCTAGCTAGCTAGTGACGAGAAGCAGTGCATGACAACAACACTTTTGAATATCCCCTTCAGTTTAAAAAGTCTTATTTTTCAGCTTTTCTGAAGCTAAATTTGAAAGTAAATTCTCTTCATTTCAAGTGTATGCAATGGGAATCTTGTCACTTCCTTCTGTTTCCAGATGGATCAAAAGCACGCGGATGGATAAACTAGAGCCCTGTTGGAAAAACCTTACAGTGCTGCCAAAGGACACTGAAAGCTTTGTCCAGAACTACTCTGTTATATCTCTGAATTCTGATCTCTTCCACACAAAAAAAGGACACAGTTTGAATATTCTTGGAATAAGCAGCTGACATAGCACTGTCACCAGTAGTGCTTGTTCTAAATCATGCTAATTGTAACACGGAGTATCTTTTTTGAGTCTTGTACATCCGTACAGTCTTTCTGCTGAAATGTCACCTCTTTTTCTGTTTGAGTTCATTTGAGTCTCTGTCATCCTGTTAGTTTCCATTTTTCTTCTGCATCATTAAAATATATATATATTAAAAGTCTGTTCTTTTTCTGCAAATGAAATTTTTAAAAAATTGAATTCTATGAAAAGCTTAATGGATTTTCTCCTTTTAAAAAGAAGCCTACACAGTTTAAATTTCATGCTCACTTCACTTGTGTGAAAGCATTACCATCTGTTTTTTCAGATTTTAAAACCTGTAACATCTCTACTGTTCCCAGCTTAAATAATTCCCTGTTGCTTCACTTTTTGCAGAATAGTTAGTTCTATAGAAAAAGAAATTAACAAATGACTAAAAGTCATGTTTATAGCAAAGAAAAGCAAACACAGATTGAAGAGAGAGTTATAATACACTTTCTGTAACATGAGTATTCCTTTTTGGGTGACCATTTTCATAGTGCTGTAAGAAGTCATAGAATGATAATAGAAACATGCCCAGTGAAGAAAGATTTGTGCAAATGCCAGCCATGAAAAAGATGGTGGGAATTTGGGGCAAAGTGATACGAGTCCATGTCCATCTCATTTTTCTGTGAAGTAATGGCTGATTTAAACCCTTATCATATTGTAACTTATCTCCACAGTGGCTTTCCTTATTCGTATTTAAAATAAGCACAAACATCATGTTTATGTTCAACTCGATCTTTTAGTAAGTGGTTTAGAGAAAGATGAGGCCCTTTCTGCTTTTATAAATCATCTCCATCATCTGTGCTAAAGCTGCTTCTCCTGCTGCTCTCTTTCGATGCAGCTGGGGATGTGGAGGACAAGAGCGGGTCGGTTCCAAACGGTGACACCGTGTCATCCAGTAAAATTTCCCCTAGCCGCTGCTCCTCTTTTAAAGCTGCGCTGAAGGACAAATCCGTGAAGTGTGAAAGTGGATCAGAAAAGGCTGTAGATCCATCACAGACATCAGAGTTTGGTCCATGTGCCAGAGGCATTTGTTGAGAGTAGTCTACAGAGTTCTCCTCGGGATAAGACTGTTGCTTGATGACCTGTGCAGCTAAATCGACAGCACTGAGTGAAGACATGACCGGAAGGCCGTGTGCACGTGCCTGGATTTCTAATTCCTAACATTTCAAACAAACACAATTAAGTAATGACTTTAAAATACAAAACAGTGTCTTCATAACTATTGCAATAAGCACCCCGACCATATATGCAAATTAATTATAGCATTTGTCCAGTTGTGAGACTACATTTTAAAATACGAAATTGTTAATCTATGAAAAATTGCCATTCCAGTGTTTTTCTTTTTACTTCCCCTCCTGTCGTTAAGCAGCTGTCCTACGGGAACATAAGGGTAGGACAGCCTCTTCAAAACCATTGAGTACTGAACCCAGTAAAGGTGACAGAAAAATGTTGCAACTTTCTAGTTCATTAGACACTGCTGTCCAGAACAACTGAAGATATTTTACTTGATGATGCTTATGATATACAGATATTTGTGCAAATGAACGTACGTAAGATGATGATTGATTTTATGTCTATCGATCTATCTGTCTATCTATCTATCTATCTATCTATCTATCTATCTATCTCATCTTTATATGGTTTATGTTGAAATCTTTCCTTTCAAGCCATGCAGGGCTATATTCTGCTCCTTTATGTTACAAGTATGTATAACATAATACAATACACCCAGGGAAGCGTAACGTGTTAAATGGTTACAAAGGGAAAATGGAAATGCTGAAGGGAATTTTCTGTCCATATTGATTTTTGGCTACAGAGATATACTTCTTGCTTCTTTTTTGTCTTTCTCTAGTTCTAATACACTCATAGGGAAACTGTTTGTGCAAACACTTATATTAACTTTCCAGGTATTCTTTTATGTAATGTTTAGTTATCAAAGGATTTTCCAAGAAATCTAAAAAGCACCCCCTCTCCAATATACATAGCAATAAATAGGGAAAGCCAATTCATTTTAATAAATGTTATTTGGGGAAAAATCGTATAGATTAATAGAATTTGATGAGGAATAAGTACTGAGAAAGCTTTGTAGTTCATGGCGACACTCTTATACAAACCTGAATTCGGAGTAGAAGTCTTCTGTTAGCATGCTCTAATTTCTTCTGCCTGTGTTCTAATTCTCTGGCTCTCTGTTGTTCTTTTTGTAGCCACTTGATGTACTCCACTGATGCTTTTAAAATAGTTCCTTTGTTCCAGCGCATATCACTGCAGAATGTAGAGATAACCTTTTCACAATTGTGCATGTCAGCAGAATTCATAAGAACTTACAAAATCTTTTACATTAATATGAAATAATGATTTACATGACTATTATTCACTCTTAGATATTATTGCTTCTGAATGGAAATTTTAATAGAATAGTTAAGAAGCCCTTATATAGTAAAATTAATCCCAGAATGAAAATAAGTGTCAAAAGAAAGTAATAAAGTGACTTTTTGTGGGAGAGCTAAATGCAATATCATGATTCTAGCATTACAGTTTTTATATTTTTAGTGAAAATTGCTTTTATTATTAACTCTAAGATTAAAATCTATGTGCAGTATTTCTGCATTAATGAACTAGGAAATATACATTACGGAAGACTTAAGCCTAAATTTTTAAAGATCATTTTGAATATACTACTCCTTTTACCTGACTTACTAATGAGGTTGCTTTTATGCTTGTTGCGAAAAAAATGGTCTGTGCTGAATGCCACTTCTCACTGATGATAGAACAGAAAAATCACACTTTTGGAACCATAATGGCTATGGAATGACAAAAATCCTGTCCAAAGATCTTGGAACGATATAATCAAGTTAAATTCCACAGCTATATGTGGACCCCAACTCAAAATAAAAGCCTTGCCAAAAAAAAAATAAGATTAAACTTATCCATCATTTAGGAAATCATCGTTTAACTTCCACCTTTTGAACAGTCTTACTAACAAAAATACATTTGTTCAAATGCGTGGTTTAAGGACTTTCATGTACCCATTTATTAACTTTCCATGTATTGCTTTATGTAAGGTCTTGGAGGCCTTGAAACAAGAATAAAATCTGTTCAGTATTTTATGCTAGAGGATGGACCTGCTGCATTAAGTATACAGACAAAAATGTTTATCCAAATTACCTATTTCACTGCAAGATGGCTTAGACAAAGCAGATTACTGGCAGAGGTTCTGTTCCTGCAAAACAGCTCTGAGAAGGGAAAAGCTTTTTAAACTAGGAAGAGTCTGAGGTTGGGAGTGACAAATAACCACCCTAGTGAATTTTTTTTAGTACCTATTCCAAATACCTATACTCTGGAATTTATAGAGTCAAAAAGAAATATAAATTATACTCCAGTCAATCATCACTTTCCATTACTCCTTGGTTGCTTTAGTTAGTGAGACTTGCTCCTACTCACATGCTCACCTATGGGGAGTAAAACTGAGATCTGAAGTGGATTTACGCTTTACATTCGGCCTTTCAGAGTAAATGGCTGAGGAACCTTGCACCTTTATCCCAAGTCTAAGCACCTTTAGAGACTTCCAACAAGGTGGTTGTCTTTCTGCTGAATTTACAGGACAAGAGCCAGGCCAGTACAGGATTCAGGGACAAGGCCCACTTGGCCTTTCCTAATGTACTGTACTACAGATAAAATCTTATGGAGCTGATAGCTTTAAAGATGCTCAGGATACCCAAAATTATCTAGGATACCCTAGAATTGAGACAACTTGCTAGATTTGGGAGAACCAGCTCTTTGAACAGAGAGGGCTCAAATTCACATCTCTGCCATCTCTGTGTAGCCCACAAACTATGGAGATCCAGCACACCGGGACCTCCCCTGGTTTCAGTGATGCAGGCCAGGAATGCACAGCTTTCAAGATAAGAAGGTGAGGAGGTCAGAGAGAAAATAATTATTGTCTCAGACTCCACTGGCTGCAAAGCCAAAACATCAGAGTCTGCTCACTGAAGTGGGTGTGTATTGTCATTTAGACATTCCCTGGTCAAAAAAAAACGAAGCAGGGGTGGGAGTGGGAGCCAAGAACAGAACCTTTCTCCCTCACGACAGCTGAATCATCTCTTGACAGTCACTCTGCCTTCTCCTTCCTCTCCCTGTACTTCTTGCCCAGGAGGACAGAGCATTTTCCTGGCTTAATCCCATGGATTCCCTCCTAGGAGAGGACTTCCATTCACATGTGGGGTACCTATGTTCAAACTGCAAAGATCAATGAAGTTTTTAGCACATATTATGCTTATTTTCTTGACAAATCTTTGACTGCCAGCACCATATTATAATCTTGTTTTCTGCAGACCTCTTCAGAAAGTTAGGTAAAATACTGTCTGTGTACACCAGAGCAGTCCGAATAAATAGAAGCAGCTAAAGCTAGGAGGACAACATTTCAAATTGGAATCTCCACCGCCATCTCAGATATAAGATGTATTTGTTAGGTATAGCTCAGAATTGATGAACTTTTTTGTTTAATTTCAAGTGACTAGTTTAGGACATTTCATGATAACTTTGAAAAGTGGTACATTAATAAGAATGCCTATAGCATAACCTGGAGAAACACAATCTGTCTAGGCAAGGGAGGCCAGCTCCTCACAGCATGTAATTAAGGCAAAACTAAGCCAGTTTTGGACTGATAGTCTGAATAGGGAAATGTAGCACTGTGAAATTAGAAACTGGCAAAATGGAAATAATTAAGACATAACAAAGAAAAAAGTATGCATATATCACATATTCGGCAAAGATTTCATAGTGATATCGCTAACAATTTCATGTCAGTTATGAAATATAATGAATTCAAAACCAAATTCAGACAAAAATGTTTTTTGTTAATTTTTCTGATTAATATGATAAGCCATATATTCAGACAATTTAGAAACTTTTTGTTATGAAATTCATTCAGGTTACACATAATTGACAACCTCTGTGATATTGGTCACTTTTAGTTCATGTTGCCTTGAGAGCTTGAATTTTTACATGTATGAAAATGAAATTTTTTCTCACAGATTAAAATAAATCTTCAGTGGATCATAGAATTATAGAGCAGCCTAGGTTGGGAAGAACTTTAGAGGTCATTTAATCCAACCTCCCTGCCATGGGCAGGGACGCCCCACCTCTCAGCTGGATCAGGCCACACATGGGGACCGAGCAGGAATCGAACCCGCAACTTTGGTGGTGTTGTTGCAAGCACTGCACTCAAGCCACTGAGCTAACCAGCCCCCTATGTCTAACTCCTGGATTCAAATCACAGAGAGACGGATCTGGTCAGCTTCTGCATGAGACACATATGGATAGATATCTCTTGTGGTAATATTTACAAGTTTGAGATGCAAAACTATAAAGGAGCTCTAGGATGAAAATCTGTGGTTACTGTAATGATTTAATAGACTTTATGTGTGTGTGTGTATTAGCACATGTATGCATCCCACATATATTCTACATCTCTACTCATACTGATTGATGACTTATTAAATGAGGAATGTTGAAGCCAAATCTTCCAATGTCTGAAGCAAAGGATTAGCTGGTGACCTTAGAAGCCAATATGTCTTTCACTCTATGTCTCTCTATTTACATCAGGATAAAAAAAAAAACTGAAGATATCTATGCTGGCTCTGCATCGCAGCCATTCTCCATCTGTTCTAGCCCAGAGCACCACACAGCAGTCACAGGACAGCCCTATGGAGAAACAGAGGCTCTGTGCAGATGTGAAGGGTTGGAAGAGGAGTAATATAACTACTGAGGAGGAGAGCAAATTGCAGGAATATTATGTGAGGTGGGGTGTGGTTGGTGTGGTGTGGTGTGGTGTGGTGTGGTGCAGGCACAGGCTGGGTGCTCCACAGCAGTAGTTTGCAATGCATCTGGCTCTGCTTAGCAGGCAGGCAAGAAGATTGATCATTGATGGGAATTAACACCTCAGCATCTGAAGGTGGATTAAATTCAAGTACCGGAAATGCATCAGAAAAGTTCAGAAATTCTCCAAGTAGTGTTTGGTTTTATGCTATTTTTGTGGAAACGCTGGATTCTAAATCAGGCTCAAATAAAGTTATCGGAAAAATAGTAAAAGTGACACTAGGGAATGGTGATTTTTGTTTTTTAGATATTTATATATTGTGCTTGCTCAGTATAAAACAGAAATAAAATTTGAAATTACAAGGCCTACAAACCCATTTGAGTACCTTTAAAAACTGTATAGCCACTGACAGTTGTTAGTCATTTTGTTGGAAATGACTTTATGAAAAGTGACAAAACAGTTGCATTTGTAACTGTTTTAAATCTAAGAAGTTAGATAGAGAATAACAAATCCTTGGAGACAGCAGGATTTCTTTTTTTGTCATTTTACCCTTTTACTGTCTATTTTAATTTTTTTTCCTTATTTTTCGTCTTTATTTTTTGTATATAGGGCTCCATACTGTAAATACTGAAGCATACAGCAAGCTCTATGTGTGGAAAAAAACCATTTGAGAGCAGAACGAAGTTTTGCAGATCTAACCATCAGCAATGACCTCTGCAAAGAAGGACTTTGTCTGTGTATGTGCATGTGGTACAATAACCTGAGATTTTTAGAAAGCTATGCAGGACTTTGGACTTGTTTTGATGACCTGCACAATTACAAAGTGTGTTCTCCCAAAACAGCCAGCAAGTTTCCACTTTATAATAGCATGAGTGTACACAAGCTTTTCCTTTACAAGAAATGTGGCCGTGCTGGCTGTCAGCAGGTCTGTCCACAGATCACAGAGAGAAGATCAGGCACAGGCAGATGCAGAAGGGAGAGAGTGAGAGCAATGCCCTACTTCTGCCCCAATCCCCAGTTCTATAAAATTAGTAGAATTCTTAAAGGAAAGATTTTTTTTCTTATTAATATTTCTGATGATTCTAGTCTGGGTACCATAACACAGTTCTTGCATAGGTGATTCCAGATGCCACCACTACGTGAAGTCCTGTTAACCACCTAAAAGGTGGCTTCTGGAAGGCTGGACACAAAGGGACTGTGAATGATAAGGGAAATATATTTTAAGAGGCAGGTTATGAGTTTTTCAGCAAAATATGACTGGATATTTTGCCCTTTTGTTATTCTTCTTTTTTTAAGTTACTCTGGTTTTTAGTTATTCTGTATAGCTGTTTTGTATTTCTGAATCATCTACCACTTAGATATCTAAGCATTGAAAATTAAACAGAAGAGTCACAGTTCTTTGCAACTTATCTCCATTTTCTAAAGCTGATGAAGTGAACTTAAAACAGCCATTCACTTAAGCAATTTAATCCACATTTTCATCATTAAAGTTTAAAGAAAAAGTGAAAAGAATAGAGGTTTAAGCCAGTCAAAAGAAAGTCTCTGCGGAAACTCTGCAGGAGCTAAACAAGTTCACTACTTAACTAGCAAAACAAAAGTGAAATAAAAACCCCCCACACCACTTCTGAGAAATATAAATCATAAAAGGTTTCCAAATAGCATCAAAAATGTCCCTTTCTGTTCCTGAGTCTGAATGTAATCTTCATGAAGCAAGCCATCTGGGACAGGCATGCTAACCACAATGGCTTAGTTATAGTGGTATTTTCTCTTCAATGCAAAGGCTGATTTCCTTCACTGCCATTAATCCAAGCACCAGTAAGGTTTCTCCTTTTACAGATAAGTTCCCACTATAAGAAGAACCTTCTGAAATCAATATATGATGTGAAAATGCTATATGTGATAAAATGTTACATGTAAAGTATTGTAAGAGAAAATATATCTCTTTCTTTCAAAGAAGAAGGGGGCAGATTGGGTGCACAGTAAGGGGTTATGAAGGAAAAAGCAAGAATTGAAATAGAGGGTAAGGACACTAAATTACGATTTGGCAACACACAACCATACCAGAAAGAAATAATAATTCTGATCTGCTCAGACAACACAACAATATGGTCAAATTAATGTATTTTCACCTAAAAACATATATTAAAAAAATGTGTTTACACTTCTTCAGATTAATTTAACCTGGCATCAAGCTTTAGAAAAGTTAGGTTATAACTTTTTTTCAAAAGTGTTCTGCACCTTTTGATGTCTCTTTTTTCTTAAAACCAACTTGAAAGCTTTTAAATAGGCCTGTTTTCAAAAGGAATACTGATTACCAGCCTTTTGAAGAAAGCAGTCCTAAGAACCTGAGACACTTAAGTCCGCCTTGTGTTTTGTAAACAAGCCACTGGAGCTACCATACTGTTGAACTCAGTCATGGTTTTGCAGATTAAAACAAGAAAATGTGATGCCTTTGGAATCTATACCTGTAACATTTTCATTCGGCAACAACACTAAAATTTGGGGGTAGAATCCATCATCCACTTACTGGAGCAAAATTACAGGTCCAGCTGACTCATTTTAAGAAGAGCATTAATGTTTTAATTTTCATAAGCTAAACCTGAACCCAGACCAAAACCTTTAACTCAAACCCCTCTGTAAGCAATCAAAAATTGGGACTAGAGTTTGTATCTTATGCCCATTTCTAATTGCTGTATAACTTGCTTCCATTAATGCTTTATAGCTGCAAACCAACAGTGCCATCCACTGTTTTTCTGAGAAATCTTTCAATTATTTGCCCAAATGGTCTTGAATACTGAAAGATGCACCAGCACAATTAAAACTTCTCTCCCAGTTTGTATTTGCAATGGATCACATGTGGCCCAAACTTTATTTAGGTACTTAAAGCACTTCTTTTTTTGACTCAGATTCAATACTAATAACAAGAACATGCCTATTTATTTAATCTTGGGTGGATGCTGTATAAGGAACCGAGTTCATGAATTTTCTAATATGGATTCAATATGTTAACTTTCTTTCTGTTGATTTCGCTCCAACTGGCTTGTTATGCCAATCATGTGCTTAGGTAAGTCTCACACAGCTTTATACTGTTGTAGAAATCCTTAATATAATCAGAAGTTTCTTAGTCCTAAGGAAAAAAATAAAGACTGAAGCATCATGTAGGTCTGTATTGACATGTAAATGATAAAATCTGTATAATCAATTTTATGTGAGTCACAGTCATGCTAGTGCATGGTCTTAAGGCATCCCTGAGCGACATGAGAATCCTAAGGCTAAAGTTCAATATTAAATATCCTAATAAATTGCTATTGCTAGTCCTGCAATAGGCTTTCCTACCAAGGAGGCCTTTTTCATAGACATGGCAAATATAAGCTTTAAAGGAACGCAAGTAAAGTTTAAGCAGTACTCATTTTGTATTACTGTATTAGTATAAATGATTAGTATAAAATGATATTATTATAGCAATTATAATTTTTATCTTTGCATTTTAGGACTATTGTTTTCCCTGCACTGAGTGAAGGAATTCTGAAAAGTGCTCAGTCTACAGACTCTTAAGCTGATTTTATTTTATTTTTTTTAGTCAAAGGGCAGTGACAACATGCATTTTGTTTTATCCCACTAGAGGGCTCATGGCAAGGGCTGAGAGCATCAATCCCTTCTCCAGAGACACCACACAACTGTTACCAAGGACACAAATGGACTTTCTGTTGTTTGGTTTATCTTCTGGTTTTCTTCTTTTTGATTCCGTTTGATTGTTGTTTTCTTCTTTTTTTGTTTTGTGTTTTTTTTCCTCCTGATGTGTCAGTCTCTCTTGAACACCCTGGAACTGCTTTCATTTTATTATCCTTTCACGTAAGTTTTCCCAACAGGCACCAAAAATCTGTCAAAGCTCTTTAATTTAGCAGCCTGATCTGAGCCAGTGACCTGGCATGGAAGATTTTGTATCCCTTCACTCAATCCTATGGCCAGTAAATGCAGCTGTATTGTTTTCCCCTTTATTTAAACTATAAACATTATTATAGGAAAGACTGTTGAACTCACGGATCATTAGACTTGGGGATGAGTGTGCCAAGCTCCTTGATTCGGTAATTAATATTGTACCTTCTTCTTCTCTCAACTGTTAAAAAGAAATAGTTGCTATTTTATGGTGAAATATCCTTGGGAAAAGAAATAAACGTTAAAATATTTTAATTATTTAAAAGCAAGTCAGTCAATGCACAGAAAATTTTTTCCTTGAATAAAATTCCCACATGGTCTCTTACCTGTTTCTGACTTACTCTTAGGACAAACACTATAGAGTCATAGAATTTAGAATCATAGAATCATAGAATCATAGATTCATAGAACAGTTTTGGCTGGAAGAGACCTTCAAGATCATCACGCCCAACCTTTTCCTAGTCCTAGTCCCTTTACCAGCTTGGTAGCCAACCTCTGTACCCTCTCCAGTACCTCAATGTCCCTCTTATAGCGAAGGACCCAAAACTGGACACAGGACTCAAGGTGGGGCCTGACCAAAACTGAGTACAGGGGCATAATCACCTCCCTGCTCCTGCTGACAATGCCATTCCTGATCCAGGCCAGGATGCCATTGGCCTTCTTGGCCACCTGGGCACACTGCTGGCTCATGTTCAGCTGGCTGTCCATCAACACCCCCAGGTCCCTCTCTGCCTGGCAGCTCTCCAGCCACTCCTCCCCAAGCCTGTAGCACTGCTGGGGGTCGTTGTGGCTGAAGTGCGGGACCTGGCATTTGGTCTTAGTGAAACTCATGGAATTGGCCTTGGCCCAGCGATCCAGCCTATCTGGATCCCTCTGTAGAGACTCTCTACCCTCAAGCAGATAGACAATTCCTCCCATCTTGGTGTTACCTGCAAACTTACTAAGGGTGCACTCTGTCCCCTCATCCAAATCATTGATAAAAATGTTAAACAGAAGTGGCTCCAGTACTGAGCCCTGGGGGACATCACTTGTGACAGGCTGCCGCTCTGATTTTACTGCGACCACAACCCCTTGGACTCAGTCATCTAACCAGTTTTTCATCCATGATTAGTCCCATCCCTGTATCTTACCTTACCTGCAGGGTAAGATTTACAACTAGGCTCCTAGAAAGTTGAATAGTCACATATTGTGTAAACACAAGCTAGCACTTCTCTTTCTTCTGATGTTTATGTATCTTTTCTCTACCCTGCTCCCACACAACAGAGTTTTCAGCTTAGCAGAATGTTGCTGATGAATTCAATAAGGACTCAAGACAACTCACCCAGCATTTCACATTTTGGCAGAACTTCTGCCACAGAGCACAGTTAACAGCTTCATTATCTCTTATCTATGGTTATCAGCTCTGTAAACCACAGAGGGAACATAAATGCAACCATATCCCTTCACCGAAACAGAGAAATATTACGTCCCAGAAACACTTCACCCGCACCACATCTGTTTTCTTCAGTGATGCACAGTGCAAGTGTGTTTACATTAACTTTAAAAACACACAGGATATGAAGAAAAACATAATTTAAACAATAAAAATATTTTTTGTATTTGAATTAATGTTTCTCCTAAGATAAACTACATGCGGTATCTAAGTTTACTTATAGTTAAGTTAAAAAGGAAAAAAGAGGAGATAAGCCTCTTAAAATGAATTCCTCCTCTGTGCTCACAGTCCACTTCATTGACATTGACATACGGGTACCCAGACTGGAGTGCGTGACCATTCTCTGCATGAAGGGTCTGTCACACTCCTGCTTCCCATTTCAGTAATTTAGACAAAATTGTCCTCTGCTTCCTCATTATTATTTTCTCCAGCTACTTTTACATGCAGAAACTTCACATTTTCTAGTGGCTAGGCCCAAAGGACATCTGACCTCTTTGGAGGACTTCTTGTACATAATTATGACAAACAAAGTATATTCAGTGAGAACGTATTACTGTTGTGGTACTACCAGCTATCAGAGATCGGCAGTGATGTTTTCCTGGCATGAACTCAAGCTTTTGCCTATTCCCTCCACGTTGTACCTTAGCTCAATCCAAACCTCACTGAATGGACGTGATTCAACATTAGTCTGTCACTAGCTTTGCATTGAGCTGTTTCTCTTATCCCTCGCTTCTTGGAAGACCCTACATTGGCCTCAATATGCTAATACCACTGTACTCTGTCAGACCAGACCTGATCAGCCCTAGAACATAGGCAGAGTGGATACGGCTGTCTCATCGGTGTATGGACACGTGCACTTAAATTTTGATGTCCTAGTTTTGAATAAAAGTACAAAAAGAGTGTTAGAGCTAAATTAAAAGTGTGCAGCCTAGTGGCTCTTCTGGCTTCAACCTTTTCACTGTCATAAAAATATTATCATTCCCGTTCGGTCCCCATGTGTTGCCTGATCTAGTCGACAGGTGGCGTCCCTGGCGGCAGGGAGGCTGGATTAAAATGATCTCTAAGGTCCCTTCCAGCTAAGGCCATTCTATGATTCTATGATTTTCAGTGTCAGCCCTACCGTATAGACGGCTTTTAGGTCATTACTTCTTTCAATACATAAAGGCACTTTTTCTTCCTGTCTGTGTGAAGCTCTTAGGTTTGCGTAGCAGTCATTTATTTCCTTCGTCACTGATTCCAACCCAGGGAACTCCCTAGATGTTGTTATTTATCCAGATGAAGTGCTCTGCCTTGGTGAGAAGTATTATATTGTCTTACTCACTCTAGAAACAGGAATTTCACTCAACAAATTAAAGCATCTCAGATTCTGTAGTCGTGATTCACATATTCAGGACACAGGGTCATAATCCTACTGTTACAATCCTATTGTTAATTGACTCCTTGCACCTCATTGCCATGAATGTGCTGGATCTTGTAGGAGAACACAGTGTGCAAAAGCACATAATAACTGAACAATTTAAAAGATCGTTTCAGTTATTTTGGCAAAATAATGGCAAGGTAGACAAAGGTAAAGAATGTGCATTAACTATACAGTCATAAGACATAATAGTTTTTGTTTAATTAATAGTTACAGTGTGGAAAAGCACTGCAAGAAATTCATCAAAAAGTAGTCAACTAAATTTGTATATAAAACAAGGCAAAGAAAAAATGTCTGTACAAGTTACCGAATTATTTTTATATTTTTGTAGTTTTTCCTGAAAAGAAACTTCCAATGGTTATGCTAATGAATTATGGAGGGGAAATTTGAAGCTTGGAAATATATTTCAGTAAGGCTTTCCTGACTTTTATCTGTTATAGCTCAAATCGTATTCTGAATTATCAACAATATTTCCAGTGTCAGATTATACCAAAGCCAAATCAGAAAATTATTTTTTTTTAAACCACATGGACAGGATGACCATATAACAAACAAATGTCACATCATTTTTGCTTGGAAACAATACCAAACAAACAAAATCAACAAAAAACCCTGAGCAAAATACATTTAGTAATCATTTAAACTCCTCCTGTTACGTGAAGAAGGGGTTCCATTTCTTAAATGTAAATTCATTTTCATGGTTTCACTGAGGATCTAACATTTCAAAAGGAACCTTTTTCTAATTCCTCCTTGGTATGAGAAGGTACAAGAACATTAAAATATGTTTTTATCCAACCTGAAACACAAACATTTGTATAATTCTAATCAAGTTCGGAAAATTGATTTTTCAGACCAACTCTAAAAAAAATGGTAATAATAAAAGAGTAAATCACACTAATAAAGCCTTTATATGCAATGCATCATTAGCTCCAAGTCATCAGGTAGTAGAGCTATCTCTAGAGAGGCTTTGATCTCTGAGAGTGTACACCTGCAAACCAAATAGATGAGATGTTGCATGTCTGGGTGGTATCATCTTGGCATACAGACTTCAGGTCAGTTGCCAGTGGTGAAGGACAGTTCTCAAACATGTCTTCCTGTGTTCAGGAGGGATGATGTCAGAGCCAAAATAAACAACGGACAACATCCTAACATGTGACATCCCTATTGTACGTATGTGACAGTCAAGGAGTGTCTCTCTGTAATTCACAATGTGGTCTCTCTGTAATTCGCAACAATGTGCAGACAAAAATAAAGATGCCTTCTGGAAAGTGTAAGTAGTAAAAAGTTATCCACAGTGGTTGTTAGCACATTGTAGATGTGGATGTACACTTCTAAGTAGATAATTTCATACAGGCCATAAATCCCCCTAAGATTACTGGAATAGCCATAGAACTAAGATGGAAGAAAATAAAGATACAGAGTCCATTAACTAATTACCAGTTTAGGTTAAAATTTGTGGAATCCTAGAACACTTCAAGTTGGAAGGGACTCATAAGGATCATCATGTCCAGCTCCCGGATTATTTCTGCCTCAAAAGGTGGAAAGGAGAAGTGGAAAATGTAATCGCTTTATTCAACACTTTAAAAAAAAATCTTTCAGGTTTTTCTATTTCTAATTACTCTTTAGAGGGAAATATTGCCTAATTGTATAGGCAACCCCCCTCCCCCCCCAAAAAAAAAGCTCAAGAAGTTGTTTATTTATATAAGTTCAATATTTAGACCATGAACTATGAATTTTGGTGTGTTCTAAGCCTAAACTACAGAAGACTATTCCTCTAGAACCGAAACGCCCAACATCTGTACATGGCTGCACTATTTTCCATTAAGGAAACAGAAGTCTATCCCAGCCCACAAAAGTCAGGGGGCTTGTGCTTCAGAGCAAGAAAATCAGAGCACCGTATCCTGCCTTGATCTCCTTTTTCTGATGCATGATTTCCACAACTTTTTGTTCTTAACTAGCATTTAGAAATTGCCTGATTTCCTCTGTATTTTTTTTTTCTTTTCCTTCCTATCACCCATAGAGAGATACAGACTCTCACTTGGGTGCTTCAGTAAGCAAGATGTGAAGACTGGATTTTCACTGTTCATTTGTCTTCTGCCTCTTTGTCTGTTTTGCACTACAGTTGTTAGAGAAAACATCAAGTAAAATATGCAGGATACATGTACAACTGTAGAATAAAAACACAGTAGCAGGAGATGATAAGAAAAAAATTCATTATACTATGCAAAGTATTTTGAAAGATAAAAGTCAAAGACAGAAGTTAATTTCAGGGAAGAAAGTTCTGTGGTTGGCTTTGTTTGCTGACTAAGTTCAATTTTGTTACCCTGCTAGGATGCTGATCTAGAAGAAGAGCAGAGATGCGGTAGCTAATGTATACTATTTTTGCATTCCCCATATATTCCATTTAATGAGATGGAAGATGAACATATACTTACTGAGATTGTGGTTATCCTTTTTTTGTCTCTCCTTTGCCATTGCTCGTGTATCTGCTTCTGACAGAAAGTGACATCTATTAAAACAGTCCTTAAGTTGCAATTCCAGTCCTTCTTTCACCTTTTCAAAATGGCCTCTTTCCACGAAGAACAGCCTTCTACTCTTTCTACTGCATTACTCTTTTTATAATTAAACAAGATCATAAGCAAGTCTGTATTCTACAAGTAGTAAATTGTGAGCAACTATGGCAGGTTAAGACTTTTTTTTATTACATCTTTTATTTAAGAACACAGAAATACCATAGAAGAGTACTTTTCTCCAGTTTGCTGTATTTTACTTCAGGATAAAACTTACAATACACTAATGTGAATATGGATTTTGTATATCCCATAATGCAAGAGTTAATCAGATTTGTAAGATATTGAACAAACTCACTGTTTCCTCTGAGTGACACTAATAAACTGTACATGGTTGTTAACATTCTTTGGATTAATTGAATGTAACTTTTAAAGTTGTTAATCTACCAATATAGATTTACCTTGAATAGCCTTATTGTAAGGTTTTAAAAGAATCATTTGTTCTATGCTGGAACAAATTTAATGGATGATAATTTATTTATACCATTGATCAGGAGCCAACATGTGGAAGAATCCACTATGTTTACTAAAATAATTAGGTTTATTAGAAGCATGATGTTCATAAAAAACAGGCTGCAAACATGGTTTCTGAATTGCTGAATAGGAGAACAGAAAGAAAATATTTCTCCTTAGTCTTGTTCTTTTCTGTAAACAAAACTACCAGCTGCAAAATTCTCAGAAGTTTTATGGCCATCTATTTCATGAGAAAGATTTATTCAATCCTAAAAAGAAAGAGCATCACTCCTGCAATCATAAAATACTAAAATCTCAGAGTTCTTTTACCTGTGAGTTCCCTTTTTACTGGTAGATTAGCTGGGCAAGAAGCATTTGTGAGACCCATATTAGCTGGTGCCGTTCCCTGGTCACTGTTATATATATCCAAAATGCTGCTAGATAGCTTGAGGGGTAGGGGGAGGAAAGAAGAATAAGAACAAAAATAATATTAAAACAAGTTAAGGATTTAAAAGATTTTTAAAAAACCCAGACAAATACAAAGAGCAAACTTCTTTAAATACAAGCCTGGTGTTCTTTAGAAGGAGCGGCGTCTTTGTGTCTTGAGAAAATTTACAGTTCTGTAGTATTAAAACTGAAAGTGAAGGGTCATGAGCTGCTGCTGCTCCACAAGCAGCTTTCTAAGTACTGGTTTTGCAGGTTTCAGGTTCGGAGTGATGGCAGGATATGGCCCCCAGTGTCTGTTTTTCAATTACTCTTATATCGTGTTTTCTACTAACAGTATTACCACAACTGCACTCCAAACCAACCTTGCTGGTTTCGACCTACTCCCAAGTGATTTTTATAGTCACATCACTCAATTTCAAATTGTACATCACAATGCACCCAGTTTAGCAGTATAAAGATTTGGTGTCTCATTCAGATGTAATAGTTAAATTAGAGTGGTCATTACATCAAAGAATATGCTTTAAGGAAAGAATCTGTGCTAATGTCAGGATAGACCAGATAATCTATTGGTTTTAATATGCATGACATATATACATATATATATATATATACCATTATCCTTATAGCCTTCCAAAAGGTGACAAAACGTTATTTAAATAAACCCACTGAATAGTTTTAAAGAGAAGTTAAATTGTTTATATGGATTCCAGATAATTACCCAGATACTACTTTCACTTGAATAATTTTGCATATTTAAATAGCTTTAAAATATGTAAAAGTTTAGTAAATAATGGTTCACAGTTTGCTCAGTTTCTATGACCTTTAAGCATTGGACATTAGCTTATATATTTCTGTATGTTCATGTGAAAACAGCTGTATAAAAGGAGTCCAAGTCCAGGTTCACGAAATAGATTTGCATTCTTATTGCTTCTTTGGCCAAGACACAAGGACTCAGAGGTTGAGTTTGGATCTACCTGGCCAAAAAAAAAAAAAAAGGAAAAAAAATGGATGAAAAAGCAGATGAAGAAAGTGAGGAAAACTGTGGGTAAAACTACTGACTTGAAACAAAAAAAAGGCATGAAAGGAAATTGGGAGTTATTTCAGAAAACTACTTTTCATATACAAGAAAATATGTTTTTACAGATTTGCCATGAACCCATGGATCCTGAATTTTTCAGGTAAGTCACTGATACACCAACTATAGGTCTGCTGGGAACCAGCTTTTTTTAGGCTCTGATCATTTCTCTTCTTGTAGACACTGTGAGCTTCACCACAAGTTATTTTGACTGGAGACACTTTTCCAGTGACTTGCTCAGTGTGCAATTTTTTCATGGCAGTCCTTGCTACATTTTTCTATTAAATCTGAGATTTTAAATAACTTTCAATTGTAAATAATGATTTTACTAGATTAACTAATAATTTTACTAAGTTATCTGAGAACCTATTTTGTGTTAAATTCTCTTAGTTTCATAACCTACAATGAAATGAAGAAATTGGGATTCTTTTTGAGTACACATAAATAACATGCTCATTTTTAAAAGTTTGTTACTTAGGAGAACTGACAGTTCTTAAATACCATTAGAAATCACAACACCAAGTCAGTTTTTAAAACCTGCTTACCTATTTGATCTCTCAATGGAAACACTTTTGAAAAGAATTTTTGGAATTCTGTTGAGTATTACTCAAGAACAAGCTATCTTTAATATGCAGGATTTGAATGCTAAGCGTATTCACACATTAAGCACCTTTGTTTCATTCCGGAGTGGTAAACTGACAAGTATTACAGAATCCACTGCAGCTTTACCTTTGCATTTGCTTTCTTCCAGGGACAGTACAAATGTATTACAAGAGTGAACTCATATTAGCCCTAGACACATATTTAATTACTTCCTATATTCATGTAAGTGAATCTGGCTAATTGAAATGATATGAAAACAGAACGACATAAACAAATGAATGTCAATGTGACTGGTACACTCATTCCAGTGGACTTTAGAAACGGCTGTTACAATTTAGACAAATGTTCTTGTGAAATGCTAGAAAATAGTAACCACTGAAAGAAACATAATCTAATAAATAATCTAGCTAACAAAGAATCCAAAGCTGTCGTATTTTATATATTTCACACAGATGTGTACATGAGTTCATTATCTTTAATGAAAAAGTAGTAATTTTTTTTAATTTTTAAGATTATCAATACCATTAATGAAAAATCTCAGCATTATAAAACTTCTTGTTTTCAGTTAATAATTCGTCTTTATACTTGAAATATAGTTAAATTTATATAGTCTATTTACAAAGGTAATGAATGATGAATTTAGTTGGTAATGTAAAAACAATACCAACACACCTGAAAGTTCAGAACTGTGTGAGGGTTCGAAAGAGCATGAGTAAACTCAGAACCACATGTTGATATCAGCAGAATTGACGAAGGTACTTCCATCTACCTCAGCTGCCATTGTCTGGAGTGATAAGAGTTCACACATCCGTCTCCATGAGCAGAACTGCTGTGCAATGTCATCCTACACATCCAGGACTGAAAGCGAGTATTTGCCCATGGTCTATGTCTGGCTGTACTAATGTTTCCATCAAGGAGTGAAAGGCATGAATTATTTTCCCAAACATCTTATATCATCTTTGTTTCCCACAGATGGTCTCTGGCATTTTTCCCCTTATCATCTGGCAATTTTTATCAGTCAATAAGAAAGCAGAGTCATAACTCCATGTAGAGATAATGGAAACGAAACCCAAACCCAAGTAATTTTTCTATTGATGGCTAGAATTCTATAACATCACCATATAGACTTATTTACCTATATGTTAATCTAGAAGGTATAGGCAAGGAAGGAAAGGCGATGGGATAGCCCTGTGTGTAAGGAAGTATTTTGACTGTCTAGAGCTTAACGATCGTGACAATAGGGCTAAATGGTTACGGGTAGGAATCAGAGGGAAGGCCAACAAGGAAGATATCATGTCTGGAGTCTGTTTCAGACTACCCAGCCAGGGCAGAGAGGCAAGTGATACATTTTATAAGCAGCTGGAAGTCTCACAATAGCCCTTGTTCTCATGAGGGATTTCAGTTTACCAGATGTCTGTCAGAAATACAGTACAGCAGAGAGGAAACAGTCCAGGAGGTTCCTGGTGTATGTGGAAGAGAACTTCCTGGCACAGGTGGTGAGAGACTCAACTGGGGAAGGCACATCACTGGACCTCTCATTTGTGAACACAGGAGGATTTGCGAGTGATAAAGTTTTCAGTTCTCAGAGAATTAAAAAGGGGGAGCAAGCAGAATTGCCACCTTGTACTTCTGGAGGGTAGATTTTGGCCTTTTTAAGACATCGGTTGAGAGAATCTCTTGGAAGGCAATCCTGAAGGGCAAAGGAGTCCAGGAAGTTTGAATATTGTTCAAAAGGTCAATGCTAAATGTGATGGAGCAGGCTGTGCCCATGTGCCGAAAGACAAGCCGGCAGGGAAGATGGCCTGCCTGGCTAAACAGAGAGCTTTGGCCGGAACTCAGGAAAAAAAGGAGAGTTTATGACCTTTGGAGGAAGGGCAGGCAGCTCAGGAGGAATACAAGGATATTGTCAGGTTTTGCAGGGACAAAATTAGAAGGGTCAAAACAAAGCTAGAACTTTAGCTACTGTCAATATCCATCCTTTATTGGATACAAGAGGAAATACAGTGGCAAAGGATGAGGAACAGGCTGAGGTACTTAACATCACCTTCCAGAACTAGGCTTCCAGAACCAGGCTTGCTGTTTCCAGAACTAGGAACTTCCAGAACTAGGCTTGCTGTTTCCCTTCAGCAATTGTCTGTATGACTATGTTCAGCACACAAGTAGTTGTGACAATTGCACTATCAACTGCTTCCTTCTCCCTTTAGCAGAAAGGTTCATTTAGTAGAAATCTCACTTATATTGTAATGGCCACTATGATGGATAAGTGCCTTCTTTGTGGATAGAGTCACTGGTGACCTCTCTTTGACACACTGTCTTCATTCTCAGGTAGACAGCACGTTATTTTAACACTTACAGTAGAGCAAAGTAAATAAAGACTGTCATTGCTACAGAAATGGTGACACACAGAAAAATCTGTTATGGATTAGTGTGTGAGGAATAACTCTCAACGTTAGGATTCAGAATCAGGAGAAGAAATAGGGAGTGATTACTCTGACCTGTCTTGGACACTTGGAGTGACCTGAAATCACCTCTTTCTTCTTGATTCTAAAGAAAGCCTGGAATGGCTGTTGCAGGCTTTTCACATGTAACTTCTCATGAAACCTTGCTTTGCTCGTAATGTGAAAATTTCTAAATAGACTTTTATTTTAAGAACCCTGTAAGAACAACAAAGCAAGCCAGACTGGAACTTTCCTGGCAAATATTCAAGTTTCTGATTATGAGGGAGTTTTAAAAATACAAAGCCAAAAAAACCCAAAGCATTTTGTTGAAATTCTCTACTTGAATTTTTCCTGCATTGATATCAAGCATGGGAATTTCCAGAGCAGGAAGATCTTTTAGAAATGTAGACATGTGGGAAATAATGGATTTTTAAAATACTAAATTAAAATATCTAGCACAATATATTGTAGAAATTGTATATGAAAATACATTTACTTTTTTGAGTATACACTAAAACTCCATTCAACGTAATGTAATTTATTTCTTACAACATCTTGTAAGTGTTGAATTTTTTTGCAGTACTGAGTCTTCAAATAGCTTCCAGTTTTAAATTACAAGATAAATATATACATTGACATAATCTTACAAAAATCCAATGTAATCTTACTAAAAGTACAAATCATTTGCAATGGCATAATTATATGATATGTGTACAGTAATGATTTTCTAATTATATAGCACTGTCAAACTTGATGAATCCCAGAGCACTTTAAAACTCCAGCTGATTGCATTGCATCAAAACCATGTTCTTGCTCTCAGCTTAGAGATGTGGAAACACAGGCATTTTTGTATGAAAATTTGTAAGTCTCAGGAAATAATGTATCTATCCAGCAGATGTCATGAGCTATGTTAGTTCACACCTGTGTTGTTCTGAGAAGTCCTGGTAAGTCACATAATTTCCAGTCTTTCTGTTAGTGACACACATATTTATCTATCTGTGTCTGAGAATTCTAGATGCAAGTGGCTAGTAAGGGATG